TTGAACCAAAAATGTCCATTCCCAAACTGTTGTATTTTTGTGACATATAAAAATATCCAATCAGACTAATAGGACTAGACACATCAGTAACAAAAGTGGTGAATTTCTATTACTTAGGTCAGGCAGAGTTCATGCACTAAACCATTTCAGGTATTTTCAGGTTGAAAGGCCATGCTACTTAGGTGTATTTATTTTTAACACAATGAGAATAAACTCAAGACTTACTTTACTAAAATCACAGTAATTTTCCCAGCACCACCTACTTCACCCATCAAGATATATATATAACTTATGTAGAGCCTGAAAATAATCCTGTCTGTGCCAAATGTATTGTTAACACCACACTATGTAGTCACCATATATTCGCTTTTCTCTAACACACATAGAAATTTATGTCAGGTTTTCCTCAAGATGCTAAAATTTTTTCTTAAGACTATTCAGTAGTGTTCTTTAGTCTCTTCCCTGGTTTATAGATGGGGAAAGATACGCCGAGAAGCAAAATGACAATACAATAAGGCAACACACTAGTAAAGAACTACTCCCTCTAGCACCCCTGCCCCATCTTGGATGGCTTCCTCCAAAATACTGTGACTCTGTAAGCATCGCTGTGCTTCCATTTACTGCCATGGGTTTGGAAAAAAGTCTTCAAAACATGACATTAAAAAAAATCCCGATGTTAACAGAACCTTTGGTCTGGTTGGGGCATGCTATTTAATTTTAATGATAATTTATTCCACTGTGAGGTTTAGCCACCAGTAAACAGTTTGTGAAAGTGAAACTGTGAGTGAAGATAAAGCGTGCGACAAGTCACTGTACTGAGTGAAGCTATGTGTATCACGTGACAAAAATAAGTGCAAAACCACATGTATACACCAAATTTATCTTTTTATACTGAAAAATGTTTATCAAGAAGGTACTTTGTGCTTCCCTCTATACTATAACCATACACCCAAAGGCTGGATTATCTCCCCCATTCATTTGAAACTTGTGCCTAATGGAGGACCAGGCCAAAGGCAAAAATCCAAGCTTGAACTATACGATAAAAACTTAAATTCCAGCCCAACTCAGTAGCACAGTACTTTCCTAGGCTTTTGGATATGTGCTGACATGAGCTTTAAATCTTTCCTTTAAATGAAGCAATCTGGGGTGGCTTAGCTTTAGTGGAAACTCAAACAATGAATTCACAGAGCAAAGGTAGCAGACCATCTTCCTAATGAGGACACACACTGAAAACGCACAGCCCTGACTCTACACTATGCTCCAATATAAACATCATTTAAGCTCAGTGTACCTTAGTTTCTCTACCTGTACAATGGTACTAACAGCACTTTACAGAGTGCTCTGATTCACCATCTGCTCATATTTTCGGAGTTATCTTCTTTGTTAGAAAGAACCTTGGATCTTCTAATTTGTAATTTATTTATTTATTTATTTATTCAAAACACTTCCCTGGAACAGTTTAAGAACTTTATTATGATGCTTTACATGAAAAAAATAATAGCTAGTAATAAAAAGAAATAAACAGTTAGGACTTCATTAATAGTTACATGATCCTTTAACTACAAACTTTGACCCGGCTCTAGGGGTGTTGCCTTTGTCAGCAGTAAGTCCCAGAAGTCGCCACTTAAACTTCTTTACACTACTTACCTTTCTAACTAGGGATCAATCAATGAAACAGTGCAATTCATACTTTACGTATAGTATATTAATAAAAGTGTGAATGAATGTATTGTATGAAAAGTCTGAAGGAGAAGCTGGAAAGTCAATGATTATCCTGCCCAAGGCTTCCATAGAGACAGACACAATAGTTATGACACTCCTATGGTATGCGTGACACAGATTTCTGTTTTGAGCATAGAATTCATGGGCATTAAAAAAGTTTTTTTGAATTTGAAATCTTTTTATGATTCAAAATAGGCTGTTGTCTGGCTTGGCTATACATTTAAGGAGAATGAACAAGACAGGGCAGCAGAAGTACACAGATAAGCCAAGTATTTTCAAACAAGGGCCAAGGTAGCGAGCTATGCACTACGCATCCCTTGGAGCTGCGATTTACACTCCTAGGCTCAATTCTCTAAAACTTACTGACGGTTCTGGCAAGGAGGCAGGGACCCTGTCTGCTACCAGAATAGAAGCAGCATGTCCATCTGTCCCATGACTCACCTGAAACAAGAACTCTTGATTCTACAAAGGGACAGGCTCCTCTAGGCCAGAGGCAGTCCCAGCGATTGCAACCTGGGATGGCCCAATGCAGGCAAACAGCTCTGCTGCAAAACTGCAGCCCCTTAATTTCTTTTCGGCCTACGGGTGCTGCTAGGACTTCAGATTTCCCATGTTTTCTGTGCTGTGTGGTTCTGTGCTCTTTTTTCAGAAAGCTTTTGGGAAAACAATGCACTTGTCCTTGTGAACAGAGTGGAACTGTGGAAAAGCAATAGATGATCACCACTGTTTAAGTTGTTCAGCCTGTAACCTCATGGCCTATCATCCCAAGCCCCACTAGCTACTGAGAAAATGGTACATGAAAAGTGGGAAGGCTGATGAGTCCCTGATAAGAGATTGAAGTTAGCCTGCATTAGCAGCAAAAATATTGCCTTAGACAGAGAACATGGAGAATGAAATTCTGGAGTGAGAGGGACTTCAGGGACTAAACTGGGAGAGGTAACATTAGATTGGTACCCTGGTGTTTTCTGTTCTGTAACCTCATTCTTCAAGCTTATTACAGAATAGGAAAATAGAAACCTTAACGTGGTGGGAGGAAGAATATATAAATTATATGGCACTTGAAGAGATACAAAATTGTTATGGAGAGCTATTCAGATGTTTAGACATGATTAGGGATGAGTCAACACTGAGAGCTAGTTCACTCCTTGCAATGGAAAGGCGAGCTCTTGTATCTGCACAGCCTATGGGGAGCAGTGTTACCCCAGGGCCACAGGCGCATGCTGGGGGGGGCGGGGGGGGAAATGACGTGAAGCACCACAACTTTCAGCCCTTACTGTGACCAGCAGAGCCTAAAAGAAGCTGCAGTACTGAGAGAAGGTATTTGAGTCCCACCAATGGAGAACTGAACCCGTAGCATCTACCCAGGTAATCCTGCCCCATCTGAGAGACAGCCCACCCCTTCCTGCAGCACCCGTGGCCAGGTTTACTGTGGCAGCTCCTGAGGTCAGACAACTTCTTGTTTGGCATGAATCGTGACTGCTACTACTCACATCTTCAAGCCTGTTTTTGTAACCAGGAGAGCTTGAAACAGTTTTCTGAAGCAAACACTTAGCTAACCATACAGTTTTGGCAGCGGAGGCCTTAGGCACATTCCTATTGTTCCTATGGCTTAACGCAGCCTGCTGTAGCCCTGCTGAGCCAAGCCAAGCAAGACCAGCATGATCACAGTCTGAACACCGGCACAGTCTGCTGAGCGGAAATGGACGGCTCTCAGCAGAGCACCTCTTTGCTCCCAGAGGCAAGGCGAGGGGAGAGGGAAAAGCCTGGAGGAAGAGAAGGAAGAGAAGGGAAGAGATAGCTGAACACAAACTAGCTGATACAGAAATGGGAGTGATGATGTAGTAACTGTAGAAGATCAAAACTAAACTGAAAGTAGGTCCAAGACTCAATTAACCGATGAGAGGTGCTGTTGCTTTTGGCCAGGAGAGGAGTGAGGAATATTATCATACTGTTGTTCATCATCTCGTTCCTCAGTCATTTTCTGAGCAGACCTGAACTGTACTGGTTGCAGTAAAGACATATACCAGGAATGGTCAACAAGAAGTTCAGAGTCTCTAACACACTTATGAGAAAACCTGAGATTGTGAATACCTTAGAATACAAACAAGCCCATGTTCTTTGCACCAGTCAGTAACACATTGCACTGGAAACAGGATGGAGTCCTTCAAAGTTCAAAATATCAAGGGTACTCCTACTCTTGTAAACTAATGACAGGCAAAAGAAAAACAATCATAGGAAACTTTTGGTGTCCAGCAAGTGATAGGGCTCTTGGAGCACTTAATGGTGTCACCACCATATCAGGTCAAATGAGAGAGCAGTGTCCCCTCCCAGTGCGCTAACACTGCAGCACTGTCCACCCCCTCCTCCTGCTGATGCACAGTGATACCATTAAGTTCCCATCTGGTACTGCAGAAGCAGTCTTGCCTACGACTGTCAGCTGTGCTGGAGGAACAAAATTAAACCCTATAAGGATAGAGCTAAAAATAATCAAGTTTAGTTCTGCAATTAGAGTTGAACTTAGTAAAAGCTGCAACTTTAATAAAGACGACTCATGATTAGACATGATGTCACACATTAAAAATTTAATCCAAACAACTTGTCCGTTTCACTACAAATAGCAAACTTGAATGTCCTGGCAAACTCTAAGGACATGATTTACAAATACTAGGTAATATTTGGATCCTACATTATAAGCAGTGCTCCAGTCTTTCTGAGAAATAAAAATGACTTCATTCTGGGCTTAGCTCAGTCATTTCAATAGACCAAGCTTCATTAGAGACATAAACCGTAATTGTACCCATTGAGCTCAATACATACAGATTTTTGTTTGGGTCGCAGACCACACAACTAGTGTCCACCCATTATCTTTCCCATAGCTTTGAGGCTTTTTGCATTATGGTACTATTAAACTTCGAATCAGGACTGGCAATCTGTTATAACGTCACAGCTTTTTGAACTGGAATGGCTGCTAGTGTTAGTAACTACATGATATGCGGATTCTGAAAAAACAGTTTTGGTTTCTTTTCCTTGAATTCACGTAACAAGTAATTGGGTACTTTTTCCAAACTGCTTTGCCCTGCCACCTAACTGTTCCCCAGAGGCCTGCACTGAAACTTGACCTCCTGTTAACTTGGGTTTTTTTTTTAATGTATGTTTAAAAACTTTCTAAATGAATGCCATTAACTCTATGTCTTGTGCAACAAGTAGCTCTGATATAGAGCAGGCCAGAGGACTGTGTATACTTACGAAGAAAACTCTTTGGATTCCAGGTGCCAGCCTTTCTGTTTTTAGCTTCCAGACCAGAGGCAAAGGAGAGTTGAGAAGAAACACCAGAGGCTTCTGGTGAATATGCACTGATGAAATTGGATTCAAATGTAACGTGACCTGCAGAGAAACACAGAAATACATGAATACCCACTTAGAAGTTTCAAAACCAAAGTGGAATTTAAAACAATGAATCAAAGGTCATTTTTATACATATTACCGCTTCCAGCATTCAGACTTCTTGACCCAAGATTACAGACTAACCTACTTCCAACAAAACCAGTCAACAGAGCACAGATAATATAAAGAATGAAATAGTTAACGTTTGTGCTCTGTGCTTGCAAAGCACTGCAAAAGTGTTTAAGAAAACCTTGGCAAACGCTGATGAAAAATAGCTTATGCAAAAGGTCAAACCACTAAGCTGAGAGTTGGAGAACAAGGAGATAAAAAGAATTGCAAAGCAAACCCTGATTTCTGGTTTCTAGATGGTAACCTACAAAGCTGGCTTAGAGAACAAACCTCATCTGCTGAAACTATTACAGCATAAATCTAACCTGCAAAACAAATAAAACTAAACAAACAAAAAACCAGGAGGAACAAATCCAGAAACACAAGAGAGCACTGCACTAGTTTATGGAAGGAATTCCAGCAGAAATTTTAACATACCTCAGGCACTAAAAGGATACATGGGGAAAACAATCCCAGGAAAGTGGGCATCACAGAATTGAGGCAACCTGTTAGAGGTGATTTTTAAGCCACCAGTTTATGGTCGCTGGAAGCCCATCCTGCCCAGCCTCTCGTATCCCAGTGCTGCCCTTCTAGAAAGGGTCTGATGGGGTCAAAACTAACCAAACGCATGACAGAGAACAGCCTGTCAGTTTTTAGCATACAACAAGTTGTAACTGAAATCATGGTGTTTTTGCAGCATCTAATAAGCTTTTTAAGCAGGCAGTACTTGACTTGATAGTTCATCCTGCTTTATATTGAAGAAGTGTTAGTGTGCAATTGAGAGGTGATCTATCACATGGACTGTGCAGGTAAGCTGCTGTCTCACAACAGCGGGTGGCAGGTGGGTTCCCTGACAGAGAAACACAGCTCTTTCTAGAAAAGGTATAGAGCGAGCAAACATGAACACAACCACTAATTTGAGTGGTGGCACACAGAAATGAGCATACAGGTAATTCAGAATGAATTTTGTCTCCCGCTAGAGAATTTTGAAAGGAAATCTGAGACACAGAAGCTACTATGTGTAGTTTATTGCATTCCTATATAGTGGTAAGTATCAGTTAGTTTACCACTAAAGTAAATGCAGATTCATCTTGCAAACTAACTAGATGAAAGCTAGAGATCAAACTGAATATTAGGTACCCGTTATTGTTGAAAATCTAGGGCTCAGGTCTGACAGACACCTGGAGGAGAGCAGAGTCACATTTTTTGGCTACTTAGGAAAAGCTGGCAAAAAAATAGCTGTGATACCTCACCAATCAGTATGCAGAGCAGAATTTATTAGAATTTAGAAACAGAATTTACTAGATTCTTAAAACCCACTGAATGAACATGTGTCCAGTCCCCACAGCAAAAAAGATATGAAACCCCATAAGCACACCTCTGGATGCATTGAGGACATCTGTATCTTCATTATGCTTGATTAAAACTTGTTGGAAAACTGATATTAAAAGAATAATTCCGTATTTGTACAAGAACCAAACTGCTTTAAGGAACGAGCACCTCTCCTCTCCAGCAGTCAGGGGCAGTGCTAGCTCTGCCCGCAGGGAGACTGGGCACCTTCCACCCAAAGGCAGGCACCTTTCTCGCTACCTGGACTGTCCCAGCAGGAGGCCTAGTCGTATTTATGCATTTCCAAAAGAAAATATAAAGTACTGTAAATTACTACGTCTTCCAGGGGCCACATTTCTCTCAATTTTCTGCCTCTAAAGAATAAAATACCTCCTTTTAGGAAACTGCAGGTTGTTAGCGCTCTGAATGCTAATAGGATGACAGAGGCTTCAAATGACAAACAGTCATGATCTTAGCTATAAAAACTGCTTTAGGGTATCAGGCTATAGAGCCAAAATAATTCTGCTAGCTGAAAATAAGATAGAAGATAAAATTATCTGTTTTACAAGGCTCCCTCTTTGTTGTTCTGTCTAGAAACGGAGAGGCAAAAGTGGAAAGAAAAAGGTGTTTAGAACTGCTATTAAATTCATGGCTATTAAAAAGCTTTCATTAATTCTTGTGGGTTTTCAGCTGTAATCACAGCTAATTAGTAATAAGCTGTTTAAGCTATTAAATATAATTGCCTTGTTCTGGGGTTATGTTTTCTTACAAAGCAATAAAACCACTGTAATCTAAGTTTACCGAAGTAGCCTAGTTATATCTTTCGCAGTCCTGATCTAGCAAATATGAGTTCAAATTTTATTCTGATATTTTTTCAGCTCCAAATGGCATAAAGTGCATTCCATTTTAAACTCTCTAAACTTCAAAGTGTCAAAGAGAATATCTGTTACACTAAATGGAGTAAATATTAAACATGTCCACTCTTTTCATATGCATCCATAGCCACATTTTCACACCCAATGATAACTGTTTTTTTCTGATCCCAGAGGAACTAAAGGAACTAAAGTAAATATTGATGAAATTTGCTATAATATACTTTTATGTACTTAAATAAGCAAGAACAGAAAAATAGTAACAATCCTCTCACTGGCAACAGGGGCACTCAGCTTGGGTTTGCATCCTGGTGGTGTTTTTATTAGAATGTCAAGTCAATGCAAAGAAGAGGCTCCTATTAGATTTTTTTTTTTATTTTTGCTGTTTAAAACCTCTGGTATTTATTAAAACCAGAAATGATACAAGAAATATAACACACACTGAAAACTTCATCTCAGAAATAGCTAGGCCAAGTCCTTTGGGTAATAAGGAAATGGAGAAGTATCTCTGTTTCAACTGATCTCAGACAAGTTTATTCAAAGCCAACATCTATCAGACAAGACAGATGTTTTAGACTTCATAGAGATTTCTGCTTGTTGGTTTGGTCACCTGAAAGAGCGTACAGAGCAATCATACTACCTTAGTGAGAAAATCAGAAACCCTTTGCAACTGGATCTACTATCAGATTTCATAGCTGCTATTCCTCTAGGCCTTGAAAATTAAATATGTAGATAATATACACACATACGATTATTTCCATAAGTTTGAGCCGTATTCAGAAGTGGCGATATATCTACCCATGCCTTTGGCTGGAATTGTAGGATAAGTTATATCACATAATGGAATTTTCCTACATTTGTACCTAAAAAGTGCAGACTGATCCTTAAGAAAAGCTATAGGACTTTAACACAAAATAAATTTATATTTCGTAAGTTAATTAAGTGTTCCTGTGAAAATTTTCAGAATAAATGTAATTTTGCATTACTGCACTCCTTAGGTTGCTCATGAGTAAGGCACCAACAAAACAATGTGGAATTCTTATTTCTAGTCCTAAACTTGAGAAAGAATGTAATTAATGTGAGGATGCTTCTGCAGCAGCCTCTGTCACTGTATTCCTTGGCACATATATTCCCTGTCACTACACTTCTTGGCATAATGGAGTCCTCCGCACCAGCTTAGTTTTCCCGAAAAAAACTCCAAACAACCACAGAGCTGCTCAACAGCTGCTCAGGACTATCTTGGTCATCATGTTTTTCATAATTCATTTTTGCTTCAGAGCTAGCTGTGCTGAGAGGCAGCTAGGTAGCCGAGCCTTAGTGTGACTGTCCCCACTACAAGTCGTACAAAATCAACAGTCTCCTCATAGTGTAACTACATCCCCCCCTAATTATTTTTGATTGTCCCCATCATCGTCTGTGCTTGATGATACACAACAGTGGTATCTACCATGGGAGATTTTCTCCTGGTCCTTAGAAAGAATTTCAAGCAAACTGCTAGGGAGTTACCAGCATTCAAGAGCTTTTTAACGACTACCTAGCTGTCAAGCATATAGATTTCACCTTGTACAACAGCAGTCGGTGGGCTATCACACAGTATTTTCAGCCCAAGTAAGGTAAGCACGGTCAAAGCCCCTTACCAGTGAGGCTGGAGGTGTTTCTGTGTGGAAGGTAGTGGTTTGAACTGTGGCATCCTGGACTTTGAGTGTGCAACAGAGGTACCCAAATGCCTCTTCCACTCCTGCTTTAGAGATCGAAAGGCTTAACAGGACTCTAAGGTGTTACAAGCTTATGACATTGATACAAACACAAGCATCAAGCTTCAGCTGTACCAGCATCTCCAAAGTGAAACTGTCACACACTCTAGCTCTCCCTTGTTAAGGTTTCTTCAGTCATATCCGTGCTCCCACCTTCTTGTCCTTCTGCTAACTTCTGGCATGGCTGCCTCCCCATCCACAGCACTGCAGCAGAAGATCGTCCTCTCTACTCTCTACACCAATATCTCTCACCAAAAAGTAATTTCTGCTAGAGTGCCTCCAATATTGCTCTAGTTAAACCACATACTGGCTGAATCCTAAGTGGTGCTCTCTTTCCCCCAGCCACCTTTCTGTCTCATCTTAGCTCGTGAGCTCTGCAGGGCACATCCTTTCTCAAATGTCTAGACAGTTCATAGCAACTTCCAAACACTCCACAAATTATAGAAAGGTACTGGATCACTTCAAACCAAACAGAATGTTTCTAATTAATAGCAGAAGAGCTAACTAGAAAATTTCCCTTTCTTTTTGTATTTTCACTGGCAGAATCCATATTACTAAATATTTATGTGAAGGATTGCCCAGAAACACCATCAGAAACCAGTCCTACATGTGTTCAACACTGTACAGATAGATATGAAGACATAGTGTGAAATTCTGAACTCGCTGAACTCTGTGGTAAAATTCATTCTTTTTCCGAAACTCCCATATAAGCTTTTTCTATAAAAAATGAGGTATCAAAAAAGTGTTACTCTCGATCCATTCTTACAGGTTCAAACAAGCTTATAAAATACACACGTTTTGTACTTCTCAGCAACACACTACCTCAGTCAGTCTTCTGCATCTCAGACAGCTCTATGAGCAGTTTGGTCAAACAATACCAAAAGAAAATTAAACCAGAATCATTAAATGGACTAAAGCACTTTTAGGTCACCTAGTC